GGCCCCACTTAAATATCCTACTCGGGCCCCACCCCCGTCACCCACTCCACCCCTCCTCCTCGCTTTATCACCCCGCACCAACAACAAGACGTTGAGTTAGAAATTTTTCTCGAGATGCATTGAAGGATTGGTAGTGGAGGAATGCATGCAGAACTCCTCAATGATTTAGTGGAGCATGTGCGGGTGCATCACAAAGACCAATAGAGCATGTGTTGCTGAATAAATTTAATTTAAATTTGAACTTGTAATTCGGAAAGGTCTGAATTGTAATACTTACATTTGACTTATTGTTGCGTTGTAATATTTGAGTTTGAGAAGAAAAAAAAGAGGGAGGAGGGCAGACAAATACGGGGAAAATTCTGGATACCACTGAGTACCCAATTGACCCCGGACAAATGGGGGTGTCCGCACACAAGTAGAGAAGGACATTTGGTGAATGACGTTAGAGTTGGCCTTAAAACATGTGGGCTAATCAAGAATATCGAGGCGTTGACGTCGTCGACAGTGTTTTCGACAATGGCGACGATCGAGGTGCTGATGTTCACGTGATGTAGTCATAGTTGCTGTCTATTGCCACCGGGGAAGTAGTTCACGTGAGCAGTCGCACCGAGCCATCGAGGTGCTGATGTTCACGTGATGTAGTCATAGTTGCTGTCTATTGCCACCGGGGAAGTAGTTCACGTGAGCAGTCGCACCGAGCCATCGAGGTGATCCTCAAGAACCTTATCGGTGCTCACCCAGTGCAGGTTCGTAGAAGGAGCGATTCCGGAGGCTTGCTCCTCAAAACCCTAGTTAGTATGAGAAAATAATTATGAAACCTAGATAGGATTTTTATAGAGGATTTTGAATCCAAAGAAATCCCTCAGAGCTAGAGCGTGTTCTTTTGCAGAACATGCATGGAAACCACGAGAAGCGAAAGGAAACTACTCTCCAAGTGCAGGCCCATCGATCGAGCTCCGTCGTAATCATCACCCTTTCATACCTCAGTTCTTGGGTTCTCTCCAGTGGCCATCGATACGAAATCTTGATTTCGATGTACTCATCGACAGAAACATTTGGAGGTTTGAAACCAAAATTAAGTGCATGTTCGGAGCCGCTCCGCTCCATAACTCTTCCTCGGAGCGGAGCGGGCTGCAGTTCTAATTTTCAGAGCAGGGGAATAGGTGCTCCACCAGTTTCGTGGAGCTGGTGGTTACCAAACAGGCCCTAAATCTCCTTTTGAGGTGTGAAACCTAAAGAGAAACAGAGAGTTTTCTACTACCATTCTTTCCACATTGTTGCACTGTACCCATGCATGGGAAGGCGCCTTATGGAAGCGCACGCAGTACTGTTCAAAAGAAGAAGAAGCGCATGCATTAATCTTTTTTTAAGGGGAAGTGCATGCATGAATCAATCGACCATTACAAGGGTCAGGCTCAACAACAGTTTTTATTTAGGGGGTTGGGGGCTCGGGTAGGGGGTTGGGGGCTTGGGGGCTTGGGGCGCGCCCAAGCTCTGCTCTATATATACCGGCCAGTGGTAGTGTTGGATTGGTAGATAGAGTACTTCGTACTACTACCAACCAGTGCAAACAGCGGAAGAACGCCATGGCCCTTCCCGTGCTCGCTTCGGCTCCGCTGAACCCGGTCATCGGCTTCAGGAAATCCGCTCCGTCGGCTCCTGTAACGCGTTCCGCACACTTACGCTCGTTGCCAACTCCAGCTCCACTCCAGCTCGTCGTCGGCTCGCCCCCTCTGCCTCCGGCCCTTAGGCTCGTCACTGCAGCCGGGACAAGCACGGTATGACACAGTCATTCAGCATACACGTTTAAATCGAAAAATAATGTTGCATAGAGTTGAGGTGCATGCAAGCTTCCAGCCTCATCTGACACGGCTACGCTATGTATCACAGGCGCAACTAGGAGACGAGCTTAAGGTGCTGGGGACATGGAGGAGCCCATTCGCTCTACGAGTGAGGGCGGCGCTCTACTTCAAGGGCCTGCAGTACGAGTACTTCGAGGAGAACCTCGAGAACAAGAAGCTGCCGGTCCTCATCCACAACGGCGTCCCGATCTGCGAGTCTCTTGTGATCCTGGAGTACATCGAGGAGAAGTTCAGTGATGTGGGCCCATCGCTCCTCCCCGCCGACCCCTACGAACGTGCCATGGCGCGCTTCTGGGCCACCTACAGTGAAGACAAGGTACACTCCCTCTGTTCGGAATTACTCGTCTAAGAAGTGGATGTATCTAGATGTATTTTAGTTATAGATACATTTATTTTTATTCATTTTTGTGGCAACTAATTCCGAACGGAGGGAGTACATAAGTACGCAATCTGTTGGTACAATATACGATGCAGCAAATGTATATGTCAACGACTAGCCAGTGACTACGTATGCTCGTGCTAATTGATGACTTGCAGCTGATCGCCCCGTGGTTGAAGATGTTCAGAGGCATCACGGACAAGGAGAGGGCCGAAGGGGCGAGGGAGACGCTGGAGGCAGTGAACGCCCTGGAGGGGCTGCTCTCCAGGGGGCAACCAAAGCCCTTCTTCGGCGGAGACGATGTCGGGTACGTCGACGTCGTGCTGGCCGGCATGATAGCGTGGATGCAGGGAACCAAGGCACTTTGCGACGTCGAGCTCCTTGACGCTGCCAAGACCCCGCTCCTGGTGGAGTGGACGGAGCGCTTTGCCCGGCTGGACGGCGCCAGGGCGCTTATGCCGGACGTCGGCAGGTTGGTGGAGTTTGCCAAGATGAAACGGGCCAAAATGATGGCTGCAACGCAAACTAATTAACCTATGCATGCATTGTCTATGGTTATTGGTTGTTGTCTCTCAATCTCAGCGGCAGCTGCAGTTTGATGTACCCATGCAGAGAACAAGACATTAAAACCGTAAAGGAGAGAGAGAAATAAATGGATGGAGTATATATTGCTTCTATTTGTACATGTGTGATTCAGGCAACTCGTCCATCTTTTTCATTCCGATCAATTATTTTCCTTCCTTTGTATATATTCTTAACTGTGAGCAGAGATGGCAATTTATTGGGGACTTAGCACAACTGCAGCAATACTCGTGACAAACGGGTAATGTCTCATTGCAGACGGTCACTACACAAGGGGAAGTATGATGATTCTCACGGTTCCGGAAATCTTGTGTGGGCAGGTTCAGGCGCCACCATACTTGCCAGAATGGCAGGCTAGAAGACGCGTGTTCTCTGAAAACTCCTCATCGATTTGGCAGCAATCTAGCAGAGTTGTTGAAGAAGAGACTGATTTGGTGAATAATGGCAGGCCCGCTCGTATTTGGCACGATCGACCAATAGATAGAGTTGGATAGGAGGGCTGATAAATTTGTAATTGACTCGCTATTATATGCCACATGCATGTTTTTTTTTCGAGTAGCCCTCGAGAGGAGCAGGGGTACCCGCCTTTCCATATAGAAGAATAGAGTTGTCCGGTTTATTAGGGGAAACCGGGCGAAAATCAGATACAAAGGGAACAAAGTCCCCTCACCGGTCGCCAAAAGCGACGGAACCCGAGAACAACACATCACCCACACGCGACGATAACCCAACAATGCCCCGAAAGGCACTACACCACCACACCACAAAGCACCACGCCGATAGAGGGAGAGAAACCAAGCTGCTATGTGCGGAGCAGGGATGGGCCACCCAAACATGGGAGGTGGTGAAGCGCACCACAAGAGCCCAATGTCATACAGAGTCCAGGAAAGTGAGGACGATAGCATCCAGGGGCCGCCGCCCCCGGCATCCAACGCATAGACGTGCCCTGCACGCACCACTAGCACCACCCTCCGAGGCCGCCATCTTGACATCCTTGAGCTGCAACACCGCACGACACGGCCGCCTCGTAGCCCACACTGCACCGAATCGGAAGACAACTCACAGACCACGACCGCCACGCCAAAATCTGGACCCATTGCCCCGACGCACAAGTCAGACCATGTCGGAGGGACACCGCGACCGAGTCGACGAACTCACCACCCGCATGGTACAAGGTTGCCACCCATTCCATGCAAGCCACAACCCCACCCCCACGGGGGCATCGCGGCACGACAATCCGAGGCCATTGCCTCGACATACAACCACTGTCTGAGTCATTGGCTAGATGAGCGACGCCCAAACAGGACGATCAAAGGTTGATCTTAGTATGGAAGGAGGCAGGGCAGGAAAGAACCTGACGCCGCAGAAGTCAAAGGGAGGAGCAAAAACCTAATCACCTAGCGATAGGAACGGTTCGCGGCATCAAATACATTCTCTTGGTCTTTCTCACCCGACCAGAGATTTTTAAATTTGTTTTTTAGAGCATTTGCAAAAATAGAGAGAAAATCTGGAGTGCACACCATCCTTATTTTTTGAAGAGAGAACAGTGCAGACCATACTTTTTTTTAAGAGAGAAGAGTGCACACCATCCTCTTTTTTTT